TCTCAAGGCTTTGGGCCATCCTCAAGTGCCTTCCCAGGCCACAAGCAGGGAGCTGGATGGGAAATGGAGCTGCTGGGATTAGAGCTGGCGCCCATATGGGATCCCGGCATGTTCAAAGCGAGGACTTTAGCTGCTAGGCCACACTGCCGGGCCCAAGATTCATTTAGTTTTACTTGAAAGTCAGAGCTACACAGACATGGAGAGAGTTCTTCCATCCACTGGATTGCTCCCTAAGTGGCTCTAAATGGTCACAAATGGCCAGAGCTGGATCATCTGAAACCAGGAGCCAGGAGCTTCTTCTGGGTCTCCCACATAAGCGCAGGGGCTTAGGGCTTTGGGCCATCCTCAACTCCTTTCCCAGGATGGGAAGTAAAGCAGCCAGGACAGAAACTGGTACTTGTATGGGATGTTGGGGCTGCAGATGGAGGATTAGTTTACTAGGCCACCTAGCTGGTCCCAGCTACTTGATTTTTGTTTTGTTTGCTTTAAGATTTGATTTGTACTGGGAAAATCAGATTTGCAGACAGAAGGAAAGACAGAGAGAAAGATCTTCTGTCCGCTGCTTCACTCTCTAAATGGCAATAACAGCCAGGATTGAGCTAATCTGAAATCAGGAGCCCAGTGTTTCTTTTAGGTATCCCATGTGGGTGAAAGGTCCTAAGGTTTTGGAGCATTCTCTACTATTTCCCAGGCCACAAGCAGGAACTGGATGTGAAGTGGAGCAGCCAGGACACGAACCAGCCCCTATGGGATCCTGGCATGTGCAAGGTGAGGATTTAGCCACTAGGTCATTGTGCTGGGCCTGCTTTTAAATGCCTATTGCTTAGATGTTGCTAAGTATCTTGCAGGTAGAGTCAACTGTAGCCCAAACAATTGTTAGTCTTAAGTCTAATTAAAATTGCACAGTTTCAATTAAACTAGCATGTGCTCCCGTGGCGAGACAGAGTAGTTTAGCAAGTTAAGTATTGTAAGATTGCTTTTAAAATACCAGAAAAGGAAGGGAGGGAGGAAAGGAGAAGAAAGAAGGAGCGAAGGGAAAGGGAATGGGTGCAGTACAATTTAAATGTCCAAAATCATAGAAGTGGATCAGCAGGATCCTATGAAGTAGTAGACAAGAATGACAAAGTACTTTATATATTGACAGGAAAAGTCTCCAGAACAAAGTACCTGAAAAAGTAGGGTGTGGGAATGTATACACAGTTTCAATTTGTATTAGTAACAGAAAAACAGACATGTGTCAAATTGCTCATATATGCATAAACACTCCAGAAGACTGTTTAAAACCTACTATCATGGGTCCAGTGCAGTAGCCTAGTGACTAAAGTTCTTGCCTTGCATGTGCCAGGATCCCATATGGGCACTGGTTCATGTCCTAGCCACTGCACTTCCCTTCCAGCTCCCTGTCTGCCCTGGGAGAGCAGTCAAAGACAGTCCAAAGCCTTTGGACCCTGTGACCACATGGGACATCTAGGAAAAGCTCCTGGCTCCTGGCTTCGGATTGGTTCAGCTCTGGCTGTTGCAACTACCTGGGGAGTGAACCAGCAGATGGAAGATCCGTCTTTTCTTCTCTCTGTAAATCTGACTTTCCAATATAAATAAATAAATCTTTAACCCCCCCCCAAAACCCTAATATTAGTTATGAGAGGGTATCTTGGCATTTTGTAGGCAACTATAAAGAGTGTTTTTCAAAAAAAAATTAATAAAACAAAGAGTGTTTTTCATTGGGTATATTTTTGAAATTTGAACTGAGTGTATTTACTATCAGATTTTTTTGGGGGGGTATGGTCTAAGAAGCTAATGAAATATCTGAATATTAGACCCTCCTCTTCTGCTTTTACAGGCAATGGCTCAGAGCTTGAATGCAAGTGGAGCAGCTGGAACTAGAACCCGCACCCATATGGAATACTGGCGTTGCAGGTGGAGGATTACACCAGCTTGTGAATAGGATTATTATAAAGGTAAACTGATGTAACATCTAAATGGTATAAATTTGTTGATTTTATTTCACTTTCTTTCTTACATAGATAGGATGAACTAAAAACTGGCCTGCAGAAATTGCCCTCAGAAAATATATGTGGGAAAGAAGCCTGCATCTGATTTATTTTATCAATCTCATATTGTGAGAAATGAAGCTTATTAACTCCAAGTTTTAAAATTCTTGGCCTACATGGCTTCCTTTCTCTGCCTGAAACACGATGAAAAGGGGAGAACTTTGATACACACTACAAATACATCCTAATACATATTCTCATTGTTTTCCCTCCTTTGCAATGGCCGCCCAAAGAGGACTTGTTCCGCCTCGCGTACCAGACAGGTTAGGTGCAGTGGGGCCACACGTTCTCATGCCCAAGGATGGTGCGGCGGGACCCAGGGCTGGACAGCACCAACCAACAGTACCAGGAACTGTCCCACCACAGAAGACTGGGGAAACTGCCAGAGGTGCACAGGACTCGCCACAGAGAGGCACCAGCAGTGGCCAGGCCATGCTCTGGGGGGCCATTGTCCAGTTCTGGGGCCACTACTTCATTGCGGGATGCCCTCAGTGCATTTGTCGTTTTCATCTCTGTAGTCTTTTGGTTTGCTCATCTGTGAAATGGGAGTAATACCAGCACCTTCCTCGTTGGGTGGTGGTTCGGAATAAGTCAAATGGTGACATTCAGCGCAAAGCAAAGCGATCAGCTAAGAGGAAATCTACTGCTTCCTCCCGTTTGGGGAATTCTCTGCTTGTCCCTGGGACCCTTTTGCCCACCTGGCCAGATTCCAATCAGAAATCTGCAAAGCAACACAAAGCTAGCAAAAGTGCTCTAACCTCTAAGTCTCATTCCTAACTAATACATTTTTAAGGAGGATTTAGTAGTAGTCAGTGGCTCACCCTTTGGAAAAAAAAATCAGTGTATTACTTTCATTAGTAAATGCCACTGTATGCTCTACCAAGAGCAATCTACCTACTAAATCACATTTATAATTGATATTTTTACATTTAGCACATTGAGTGTGATTCATATAATCATCAAGTGCACTACCCCATATGGCAAGGTTTTCTTAGTCAGTTTTCACATTTGTAAAACCTCAGGGATGTTATATATATGAATATATTAAATCACACTTAATACTGACGATAGAGCTGTCACCAAAATCTAAAAGACCAGAGATTCCTAATTCCCATTCTGACTCAGATTACTGACAGGAGTTTCATTAAAGGTCTAGGGCAAACAAAGATTGTCATTTAATCATCTGACTATATTCACATTGGTTGCTAGGCATTGAGTACAGCGTATGTTTCCCTTTCAAATATCCGGGGGGAAATACATATATCCAGCTGTCCTTTCCTTCGGTCCTTGAGATTCATTACATTTGTTTGAAGAATTTAATGAGTTTGTTCAGGGAGTTGCATCAGCAGTTGTTTCAGTGTTAGTGGTAGGAATGACAAGCAGTTCTTTGTAATGTGGCGCTAGTCAATACCTGTTTTTGCCTAAGGATGTCTCCTCACCGATTCTGGATAATCCTGCTTTGTAGTGGGTTGGGCAGTGCTAGGTTTCTCTGGTTGGGGCTCTAAGTTTGGGATGTGATCTAATCATACATGCCTGGAAAACTAAGGCGCTGAGAATACAGGCTAATTCAGTTCCACAAACACTAACTAAAGCCAGCAGACATGACATTTATATCAAAAACAGTTCTAGAGCATAGCTACCAATGACTTCCCATTTTCTAAAACGTATTTATTATCTTGAAAGAACATTCACCTCACATTCAGTTTATGGCCAACAATCCTTCCTGGGCTCTGGCTGGCCCAATTCTGATCCAACTCCCTGTTAATGTACCTGGGAAAGCTGGCCCAAGTGCCTGTGCCTCCACACCCGGCTGGGGAGAACGGCAAGAAGCGCCAGGCTCCTGGCTTCAGCCCAAGTTTGCAGCCATTTTGGGAGTGAACCAGTGGAAGAAAGAACTCTCCCTCAAATAAAATTTTAGAAATTTAAATTCTTTAGAGAATTTAAAATCCACAATTGAAGGGAGGTAAAATATTAGATACTACACAATCAAGTTATGCAGAATCCTTTGAGAGTTGTAAGAGAAAACAACAAATCTTTGACTTTTAGTGAACTTATGTTACGGGAACATTCTCTGGGTTAAAAGACCATTTGCCCTACAAACTTCATGAAACTTATGATCCTTGATTACAGGATTGGTTGGAATGTGAGCATTTTCTGTGAGTGGATGAGTGAGTGAGAGACAGAGAGTCCTTGCGTCCTGAGTGCCTTAGAGGTTAGAGCCCCTTCGCTAGCTTTGTGTTGCTTTGCAGATTTCTGATTGGAATCTGGCCAGGTGGGCAGAAGGGTCCCAGGGACAAGCAGAGAATTCCCCAAACGGGAGGAAGCAGTAGATTTCCTCTTAGCTGATCACTTTGCTTTGCGCTGAATGTCACCATTTGACTTATTCCGAACCACCACCCAACGAGGAAGGTGCTTGGTATTACTCCCATTTCACAGATGAGCAAACCAAAAGACTACAGAGATGAAAACGACAAATGCACTGAGGGCGTCCCGCAATGAAATAGTGGCCGCAGAACTGGACAACGGCCCCCCAGAGCACGGCCTGGCCACTGCTGGTGCCTCTCTGTGGCGACTCCCGTGCACCTCTGGCAGCTTCCCCAGCCTTCTGTGGTGGGACAGTTCCTGGTACTGTTGGTTGGCGCTGTCCAGCCCTGGGTCCCGCCGCACCATCCTTGGGCGTGAGAACGTGTGACCCCACAGCGCCATTGGGCCCGAAGACTTTGTAGAACCGCCGCGCCCAGCCACGTCCGGCACGCGAGGCGGAACGAGTCCTCTTCGGGCGGCCATCGCGAGGGGGCCCCCGGTTCCTTCAGCTTCGCGCGCAGGGGGCTATTCGGAATGGCGAGAGGCGCGCCAGGTCAGCGGCAGCGCCCGTCAGGCTCTCGGCCGCTCCCGGGTCCTTCCTCCCGCCTAAAGGGCCACAGCTACATAGGTTACGCGCCTCCTCACCTGTTCCAGAGGCGGCTACGGCTGCAATGACTGACGCCACGCTCCTCCAACCAGGCTGTGGCAAGAGGGTGGGCCCTGACGAGAATGATTGTTCCTTCCCTCCAATCGCCATGCAGCTCCCTCGGCCACAGTCTCGGCGCCCGGCGGAGAGCGACAGGTGGGAGCTGTGGGACCTCAGCGCCTCCTGCAGCTTGAGCCTCAGTTAAGCGCAGTGGTAGGTCTACTCTACATTCTACCGGTTCTTGCGGGTCAGCGCTCTAGCCGTCATTTTCATCAAAAGTGGGAAATTTCCCGGCCCTTTCCCGTCACCTCAGATGGGGGCGGGATGACTAGTACTTTCCCCGGCCAATCGTATCACGCGACGTCCTGTGACAAAGTGACTGACACTTCACAGTGCAAATGAAGTTTCCCCTGGTTGCGGTTCCCCGTGACTGAACACGAGGCTAGCTAATCCGCTTTAAGGTTGTGCCGCGATCGTCAGAGAGACTGGCCAATAGACAAAGACAACGACCGGAAGTCGGCTCGTGGGTAGTTAGAAGGCGGGGGTTCGCAACCGCCTAGGCCTGCGCGGGTCAACGCAGCTTGGGGGCCGCGAGCCAGCAAGCGGCGCGTGACGAGGGGCCTGAGCGACGGGTCACCGTGACCAATGATCTGCAGCCGCCGGGGAGCTGCAGCCAGTGGTGAGTCGAGTGGGCGGGAGGCAGCAGGTTAGGCAGTGAGAAGTTAGTGGCGCTGCTGGGACGGGGGAAAGGAGACGCTTCTTCCTCCTGCTGTTCGGTGCGTTCCCGGGATCCGCGGCGGCGTTGGCCGCGAGTGACTGGGCTGCGTCTCCGGTTCCGCGCGCTAACCATGCTGACCGACGGTGGGGGCGGTGGCACCTCCTTTGAGGAGGAGCTGGACTCGGTGGCTCCGCGATCCGCCCCGGCCGGGGCCTCGGAGCCGCCTCCGCCGGGAGGGGTCGGGCTGGGGATCCGCACCGTGAGGCTCTTTGGAGAGGCCGGGCCCGCGCCAGGAGTCGGTGGCGGCGGTGGCGGTGCGGGTGCAGTCGGAGGAGACGCGGCGCTGGATTTCAAGTTGGCGGCTGCTGTGCTGAGGACCGGGGGTGGAGGTGGTGGCGGCGCCTCTGGCAGCGACGAGGACGAGGTGTCCGAGGTACGGCTGCGAGAACCCCCGCCTGCCACCCCGGCGTGAGGCGTGAACTCTTCTGTGGGCTGGCACGGGGCCGGGAGCAGCCTCGCGCTGCCCCGGGCACAGGGGTTCCCTGACAGCAGTCGGCTCCGAGGCGGCGATCGCGGCGATCGGTGGCCGCGACGCGGGCCTTTGGGAGCCCCGTGGCTGGAGGCTGGAGCTGGACGGGTTTCCCGTCCGCGGCCGCAGATCCACAATAGGCAGTCCTTTGGTGTGTGAGCTTCGCGCGGGAACCGGCTACCTCCCGCCCGCCGAGCCGTGGAGTTGGGGGGCGGGGTGGGGTGGGGGAGTAGCGGGGCGGGGTCTTGCTGGAGTCCCTGCCCTTGGTACTGAGACCGAAAGAGCCAGACTGAGTGAGCTGGCTCGCTCTGGGAGCTTTGCTTGTGCGTGCCTCTGCACAGAGTCGAGTCGTACTTGGATTGGCTTTAGGCATTTTATTTATTTATTTATTTTGCGGAGAGTTCTTAATTTTCCCTCTTGGGCTTGAGACAGGTGAGTATTAAGAGAGCGCTCAGCCTGTACTCTGAGAAATCACGTGACTTGCTCCTACGACTTTTTTTTTTTGTGTGAAGTTAGACAGGAAAAGGAAGTTTCCAGTCTAACTTCTGGCCTTCGGAACAGCTGGGTAGCTGAACTAGTAGGGAAGACGGAGCATCCACTGGGTGCCCGCTGCAGTGACCCGTGCTGGTTTTAAGTTCATTTCTTTCCATTTTTAGATCTGAGCAGCCCTAGGTGGTAGGCATTCTCTCTTTTTGGGCTCCAGGGAAAAAGGTGTCTTGTTTTTGTATATATAATTCATTCTCTTGACTCTGGCTTGCATATAGCCTCGTTCTGTGATGACTGTTGTTTTAAGTGCTCAGAATAAACCTGCCTTTGTGGTTCTTAAGGTGCCTGTTTCATCCCCTGTGACCAATTATTGGAGCCTCTGGTCTTGGTGTTAAAGTACTGGAATTTCCCTCTGTGTACTAACGATCCCTGGCTCTTGTATTTGAGAAGAATCAGGAGAAATGTGGCAGGTTGCAGAATGCAGCTAGTGGACCGTCTTCATTTTAGCTCTGTCCAGGAATTTCCATAGATGTAAAATCTTGGCCCCTTGTGACTCCAGTGTTCTTTGGAAAAAGTGCTGTGTGAATATTAGGGGGTTTGGTTTCTTCAGTGTCTTTGAATTTCACCAGAAGGGAAACAATTTGTAAGTCAAGATAGGGCTTGGGTTCTGTGTGAGGTATGGTGGAAGGCTTCCTTTTTGTCCTTTCAGTGAACCCTGTGACAGATGAACTTGGAAGACATGTACTCTTTAGTTAGGATTTCACAGAGAGATCTTTAGAGTCCCAAGATTAGAGTTTTCTTTGAAACTTCTAAGGGATTATCTGAAAAGGGATTCGTCCTCCTAAATGTGATGGAAAGAGGGTGTTCTTATTTCTCTGGGCCATTTTTACATAATTATAATGGGTAAGATGACATCTGCTTTTATATAAGTATATTATTAAATGTCTTCAGAGGCAGAGTGCTTGTGAGCTTCCAAGGTCATAAATCTTTCTCATCCTCTCTTCCCACAAGGGAACTGGAAAATGCTTACAGAACATTGAATTGAAAGATAAGTTTATTTTGGTGCAGGAAAAATTTGAAATCCATACATATGAGGGGACCTCAAAGTTTGTGGATAATTTGAAAAGATCACACATTTACTTATTCACGAATTGATAAAGTTTATTAGAGTCCCCATTTGCTGGTTTACTCTCAGAATGTCCACAACCCCTAACCTGTCTGAAGTTGGGAACTCCATCTGGCTCCAACTCCATCTAGCTTTTTTACATGAGCCAGAGTAACGCAATTCCTGGACCACCTCCACTGCCTCCTAGGGTCTGCATCACAGGAACCTGGATCAGGAGCTGGAATTGGGAACGGAACCAAGGCCCTATGATGTACAGTATCGGCAGCTCAGTCACCTGGCCAGTGCCCACCCCTCTTGAACTTTTTGAAGACTCCTTGTATGCTTCACTTGGAGCTTCTGTATCATGGTTAAAGCCATGGGCACAATCCACACTCTTTGTGTTTCTTTATGATTTAGTGTGGAAATGTATTCATTAGGATTTAGATATTTTAAATACATATTAACCTTGTTTTTAGAATTAAATTTTTTTTTTTTTTTTGCTTTAAAGTGATACTGAGTATATATGTAGATCCTTAATTCTTAACCTATGGAGAAAGAAAATTTTGTTTTTGTGTACTATTTTATCCTGTATTATATCAAGAAGTTCTTTGCTATAAAGCATGTGTAGTAGAGAATAGCCTCTGTATTTGTGAAAGGAATGACCCAACACTTGTCTGACCATTTCTGTTTTCTCTCTGGCAAGATGTGCTGTTTTTTTTTTCTATAGTACTATGTTTAAATGTTTCCTATGTGAAAATATTATAATTAACATTTTTCAAGAAATGCTCCGACTGCCACTGAATGTATAATATAAAGTCCTCATTTTCAACTTCCCTAAGTATTTTAGAAGCAAGTTTCCTACACATTTAGAAAGATGGTGAGTTTGTGTGTAGTTTGGGAATGGAGTTTTTCACCAAATGGAGAAGTGAGTGGGAATTGTGGAGAGCTGGTGTATTTGCTGTGGTTGAAGTCCTCTACATCTTGTGTGCAGAGTAGTAGATACTGTAAGGGTTTCTTTACTCATTAGAACCAAGAGCTCCGGTCTGGCTTGATGGCCCAGTGACTGAATCTTTGCTTTACATGCTCCAGGATCCCAAGTGGGAGCTGGTTTGTGTCCTAGCTGCTCTACTTCACTTCCAGCTCCCTGCTGTGGCCCCGAAATACAGTGGCGGACAACCCAAAGCCTTGGGACCCTGCACCTGTGTGGGAGACCTGAAGGAGGCTCCTGGGTCCTGGCTTTGGATCAACTCAGCTTTGGCCATTGCAACTACTTGGGGAGTATACCATTGGACAGTAGATCTTTCTTTTTGTATCTCCTCCTCTCTGCAAATCTTTCCAAGAAAAATAAGATCTTAAAAAAAAAAAAAAGGAACCAAGAGCTCAAAAACATGAGCAATTTTTCCTTGCTGGCCAAGACAAAAGAACTCCAAGGGATGGAGGTAGGTATTTCAGCCTATTCAGTACTGGAATTCTGCTTTCTTAGGGCATGCCACCATTTGGGGATCTTTCTTTTTTTGTTGTTTTTTACACTGGGGTAAATACTTGGCTTTGTATTTCTTCAGGTATACTGAACATGATCCTTAGCTAAGGTCTTGAAGGCAAGAATCAAAATTTGCACTGGATATTATTGAAGTATACCCATTGTTCACAACAGAGGTCAGGTTAAAAAAAGATTCCTTAGGGTCCGGCGCGATGGCGCAGTGGTTCAGGTCCTCGCCTTGTGCGCCTGGGATCCCATATGGGCGCTGATTCTAATCCTGGCAGCCCCACTTCCCATCCAGCTCCCTGCTTGTGGCCTGGGAAAGCAGTCGAAGATGGCCCAAAGCTTTGGGATCCTGCACCCGGAAGAGGCTCCTGGCTTCGGATTGGCTCAGTTCCAGCCATTGCGGCCGCCTGGGGAGTGAATCATCGGACGAAAGATCTTTCTCTCTGTCTCTCCTCTCTGCGTATCCGCCTTTCCAGTAAAAATAAAATAAATCTTAAAAAAAAGAAAGATTCCTTAAAAATAACTTTTTAAATGTTGAATTTAGAATTGTAATTTAAAAAAAATATTTCTTGGACCTGGTGGGTAGCCCAGTGGCTAAAGTCCTCGCCCTGCATAAACCAAAATCCCATATGGGTGCAGGTTCTAATCCTGGTGGCCCCCGCTTCCCATCCAGCTCCCTGTTTAGGGCTTGGGAAAGCTCCAGGTTCCTGGTTTCAACCTGATCCAGCCCTCGTTGTTGGGGCTGTCACTGTGTTCTTCAAATAAAAATTTTAAAATAAAATTTCAAATAAAAAATAAACTTTTCTTGTTTTAAAGCCCAGGTCATACAGATATCCCGTCCTGATTTTCTACGAAGGAAAGGAGATGAGTTACTGCCTTAGGGTTACATGTGATGTAAAGTATAAGGCAGTGCCTCTCAACAACAACATAGGTACATTTTGGATATTCTTTTTAGTTTCTTGTGAGGATGCCTCCAGGGCGTTAGCACCCCTGATTTTCTACCTCTAGACCCCAGGAGAATCTGTCCAGTTGTAACGCCAAGAAGTCTTCTGACTGCCAAATTTATCCTGGGGGTAAAATCACCCTTAGTTGAGAATCACTGGTCTAGAGGCCACTCTTTGTCATCAGAGATGGCAATTTTGTGAATACTCTGTATTCAAACTTCAGGTAAACAAGGTGAGTCACTGCTTTTAATAGGATCTCAGAACTTAACAAGGAAGGAAACAGAAAGAAGGTACTATAAGGTTTAAAATCAGCATTCATTGCTGTCAGTTTTCAGTGGCATACTTAACATTTTGTGGAACTTTATTCTAAAACATTACACTGTTTATAAAAGGTTGTTACTGTTTATGAAAATGAGCTTTAAAAAAAACCCTCATGAACACTGTCAATTTGTTTAAGGTAAAAGGGTTTTGTTCCATAAATTACCACCAATAGTGAGCAAGTAAGAGACAGAACTTTGTATTTTAGAGGACAAGTTTTGGAGGAATTGTTTGTTGAAGACAAATAACTAGTGATTTGTTGTATTCTGTGTATCAAATTTGCTTAGCCTTCCTTCTGTAAAGCATTGAGACTTTATGTATAAATCTATTAGGGTGAGCAAATATGTGTGAATGGTAAGTCGGTGCATAGTTGATTAATATGGATAAGGAGGAAAACCTTATGAAACTTGAAGTGTGGGGCATTTTTGGGGGCTTGTTTCTCCCTCCTCCTGCCCCAGGGGTTGTTATGTAGAACCTTTTCAGTAGGCAGTTACATTCATTGAGCCCGTAAGTTGAAGTAATCTAAGTAGACAGTGAGGTTTTGATCTTGCTGCCTGCTCTCTGC